CTCTCGCAGTTAGATTTGGTTTCAAAGGTTTATTATTGAATTTCACATTATGAGCGATAAGATGCCTAATCATTTCTTTCTGTGAATCTGAAACTTTACTGAACTTGAAAGCTTTTTCGATAGGAGCCAAAATCTTTGGAATCGAGGGTTTACAGGTTTGTGAGAAGTTAAAATTATATTTTAGAATTCTCTCTTGTTCTTCTGAAAGACTAACATTAGAAATATTAACTATTGGCTTGATGTTTACAATGGGAAGATTTTTTTGAACTACTTGAACTGGAAGATTGTAAAAGAAGTTTTTCGAATTTAACTGCAAGGGTTTTTTATGACGGTTAACTGCATTCTCCGTTCTAGACCAAGACTTTTGTTCAAGGGCAGTGAATTTTGGATATGATTTAGCGAGTTCCAGATGAAGCTTATAGAGTTCATGTTCAATTTTGGACAATTGTTGACGTGTATCCCTTATGAACGGACCGAAGTAAAGGCAAGCTTGCAATTTAACAGAATTCTTGAAACGCGACTCGAAGGTTTTTGATTGGATTTGATTTGGATAAAATTGGGGATCAATTTTTTTATATTTACATTTAAGTAAACAGTCAAAATGATTCAGGAATTTTTGCCGTTTCAGGCGTAATTTAGTGAAACGATTAACGGATAAGGGCATGATAAACAAACCAGAAAATCAAACTAAATTAACTAACACACAAAACAGCAGAAAAATCCCTCACTGAAATGAATAGAAAACAAAAAGAAGCTACAATGCGCGAAGAGAAAGTGCTACAATGCGCGAAATTCATTCTAACCCGGATATTATCATTTCAAAGGCCGACAAAGGTGGCCAGATAGGCGTCATGGATAAGAACACTTACATCGATGGTGTCACTAAACTCTTAAACGAAGGACCATATAATCCGATCCCTAAAGATCCTTCACCTTCGGACTTGTCAAAAATAAAAACTGCGATCAAATCTTCGCAAATCATTTCAAGCAACTTAAAACATTCGCTTATCCCATGTGTTGCGAATTGTGCCAGATTATATGCTCTTCCCAAAATTCATAAAAGCGGTATTCCTTTCCGTCCTATTGTATCAAATTTAGGTACTGCCTCGTATCCATAGGCTAAATATTTAGTTTCTAGATTTTCCACTCTATTAGACAATAAACATTTACACCATGAAAAATTCAATAGAGTTTGTAAAAAAAGTTAAAAACATTTCTCCTAGTAATTTACTCATGGTTTCTTTTGATGTAAAATCATTATTTACCAATGTCCCAGTGGAGGGTGCATTAAGATGTCTAGAAACCAGACTTCGCGAATTTCATTTCTCTTGCATCGAAATTGATGAGCTAATTTCTCTCACTCAACTCTGTTTGAAACAAACACATTTTGTTTTCCAAAATAAATATTACAAGCAAACTGAGGGATTATCCATGGGAAGCCCCCTCAGTCCCATCCTGGCTGATATCTACATGCATTATTATGAATCAAAATTGTCTGAAACTTTAAACTTCCCGGCATGGTTCCGCTACGTAGACGATACTTTTACCTTGTTTGAAGGTAATAAAAGATGATTTAAATAAAGTTCTTTCAACAATGAATTCTATTGATCCTGCTATTCAGTTCACTTTCGAACTTGAGACTTGCAATTCTTTTCCGTTTCTCGACATTCTGGTCACACGTAACTCATCCAACTTCAGTACTATGGTTTACCGTACACCTTCATCGGTTTTCCTTCCACCACACTTTAAATCATGTCATCCGACTAAACAAAAGTTAGCTTCATTTTATTTCTATCTTTTCCGTGCTCTTCAAGTTTCCTTCTCCAAACTAGCCCTTGATGAAGAACTAAATTATTTAAAAGCAATAGCTATTGACAGGGGATTTTCACCCAACATTATTAATCAAGCAGTTAAAAAATTCTCATCTCAACACACTAAAAGGCACACTCTTGTTTTAGGAGGTTATAAAAATTCCATTGTCATTCCCTTCTTTCCAACAATTAGCTATAAAGTTGCACATATTTTGCAGAAATTTAACTTTCGGGTTGTTTATTCTCCCATCAATAAAGTTCCGAGTTCCATACTCAAGGAACCCATTCCGGATATGAATTCCTGGGGTATTTATAGGATTCCTTGCCAGTGTGGTTTAATTTACATTGGCCAAACTAAGAGAGCCTTAAAATTTCGCGTCAAGGAACATGAGGCATATGTTAGAAAAAAGGAAACCCAGAAGTCTTCAGTTGCTCAACATTGTTGGTCCGAAAATCACACTTTCAATTTTTCTGCTGCCAAAGTTATTCAAAAAACATCTTCCATTGGAGAACTGGATTTTCTAGAGGCATTTCACATTCATAAAAATCTTTCTGTTCTAGTTAACGATCCTAATTCCAATCCAAATTTGCCTTCGGCCTTTAAATAAATTACGTTTTAGTTCTGGTTTCACCAACAGATGGCGCCACTTGCTTATTCTTGTCCACGCGTTCTTATCTTATCTAATCATTATTTCCTATCTTGTTCATTTGTGGTTTTGCAGCTGAGGATGGTGGTTCGGTAAAACCATCGAAACTAGTCCTGTGAAAATTTTGAAAATCTAACGCTGATTTTTGTTGTTTGACTTCTGAATTAGTATTTATTCGGCGTGTTATTGTGTCTTAAGGAGGTAAATGTGCACCCCTATATAAAATCAGTATCTGTGCATTATTGGAGAAGTCAAACAACAAGAGTCAGCGTAATATATTGCAGGATTAACCATCATTCTCAGCTGCCTGAGAGTAAATTTAGTTTTACCTATACTGTGTCTGTGCACTTTTATATTTAGTAAAGATAATTATATTAAATCATAATACCATAACTGTTATAATATTTATATTACAGCTTTATATATTCAGAAAAGTAACACATGTATTGATTTATAATTTCCTTATTAAAACGTTAAAAAATTCTTATCCGATAAATAGCAAATAACACTGAAAGAGTAATTTAATTCATTGGTCTCTGACTCAAATTGTATGAGGGTCACATGTACGACCACAACGCAGTTGACGGGCCGCATTCACAACCTGAAGGCAGATGGCGGGCCATGTATTTTTTTAAACAAAATTTCGAATAATTAAATAATTTTACCTTAATTTGAAATTTTATTTACTAAATACTAATCGAAAGGTACATAATCAGCAATAATAATAACGCGAAGGAAAAATTCAAATTTATCATGCCTTTCTTCTATCTGTAACAGAATTTCTTTTGTTTATATATCGTAATTCAGATGTTCTGGCAGTTAAATATTAGATTTTCGGACTGACGTTTGTTTCAAGCCCTAAATAAATTAATATAAATTTAAAATAAGCAAATACAGTAGAACCTCGAGATACAAACACCTCTATATACGAGAAATTCGAGATGCGAGGAAAGTATAAGCGAAACATTGGTCTCTAAATACGAGCATTGGCTCGAGTAACGAGCAGTGAGCCAGGCGTTGATATGCGTGGCGCCATTTCCCGATCCGGCTCGACTCGGGGATTCCCCACCTCAGATCACTCAGTGTTCTTTGATCTACGTGTTTATGCGCTTGTGAATTAACTGTTTTTTTTTTTTTTTCATTTAACGTTAAAACAATTATTGCATAATGCCTCCCAAGAAGATTATTGCCTCAGATAGTGCTGCAAAGAAAAAGAAGGAAACCATGGCCATTGAAATTAAGAAAGAAATCATAGATAAACATAAGCGTGGTGTAAGAGTAACAGAAAGGACTTACAGCTGTTCGAAATCGACGATCTGTACTATTCTAAAGGAGAAGGAAGAAATTAAGAAACTTGATGTAGACAAAGGAGTTACCGTTACTTCCAAGCACCGTCCAAAAGTCCTAGAAGATGTTGAGAAGCTGTTGTTGGTGTGGATTAACGAGAAGCAGTTAAAAGGCAATTCGGCGTCGGAAGCTATCATTTGCGCTAAGGCCTAAGAATCTTTACTTGGACCTGCTCCGGAAAACACCAAGTTCGTCAACTGAAGATGAGATGATATTTAAAGCAAGCCGTGGATGGTTCGAAAAATTTAAAAAGAGAACCGGTGTTCACAGTCTTGTGCTACATGGAGAGTCTGCGTGCTCTAATGCTGCTGCTGCTAATAAATTTCAGCCAGAGTTCCTACGATATATTACTAGCAAGGGCTTTCTTCCCAGCAAATATTTAGTTGCGTTTAAAGTGGCAACAGTTTGATAAGTGATTCGCCGTTTGTAGTGAATCGACGCAAAATCGCAAAACGAAAACAATAGTATTTCAGGGACAAAGCCCCTTTGGACTAATAAAACAAAATAATAAATAAATAAATAAGTAATATAAACTAATCAGTAGACAACACGAATACCAATGAATTTTGGTTTACCGATGCCAATATTAATTTTCCTTAGCTTTCATTGTTCACAAGAGATCTACTGATTTCAGTTAGAAAATTCATATAAACTCATATAAAAACAAATGGAACGTATAGTGTATCCATTTCGATTGCTTTGGGATCAATAAAATTTTATTGATGCCGGTAAAGAATCCAGTATAAATGAGTACAAATCAATAAAATGTTATACTGACATTGATTGTTAGCTGGATGATTATCCATTGATATGAATATGAAAAAATTATGGAGATCAACTGAAACCAGTAAAAGTCAGTAGGAAACAGCAGAATTCTGTGGGTACCTGTTAGAAGGTTTTACTGGTTTCTACGCGGCATTTTGATACTAGTAAGAAAACAAGTAGAGATAAATGGAAACTAGTAAAAGTCACTATAAACCCATAGAAAGCTTAACTAGTTTCTATGGGGCATTTTCAGTAGAGCACTGAACGTAACAAAAACGAAATGCATAAAAAAAGGTTTAAGTGGAAGGTTGTAGCTTTAATGCTTAAGTATATTCAGATATCTTTTATTGCACACAAATAAAAGACTCTTTTCAGTGTTTGTAGAATATCGTACGTTATTTTAACTTTGTATTTTTTCCCTTTTTTACAGGTGTGGTGTGCAATTTTTGCCTCGGTCTTGATAATCTCATGTCTATTGTCTGTTATGCAGAAACTTCAATCGTGTTACAGGATGACGCCCATTCTAACTTGGAGAAACACCCTGTGGAACGTTTTCGCCACTCTCTGTCAAGAAGGTTGAGTCGCAAATTTATTTTAATATTTTCAAGGTCGTTAATAGTTTCAATGGTCATCAACCTTTCACATAAGCTCATAAACTTAAAATAAGGACAATACAAAGGAAAATATATTTCTATCGTATACAAATCTGATAATATTTTTAACTCACAAGTTTATGAGGAGCAGATTGCAACAACACCATGTGAACGCTTCTACGAATAAACCCAGAGAAATGTTCCGTAGTTTAAAAGATCGATATTTCTGTAATAATATACTACAATGTATCTCCAAAGAATTTTGCGCTCAAAGGCATTTATAAAACATTTATTGACCCAGGGGCATTTTCTGAGTTTTTGAAAGGGGAATGCTTTTAATACTAAGTATTTAAAATATTATGTTATTGAAAGGAAGTTAGCATTATATGTTTTCGAAACCTGGTTGTACAATTTCTTTATTCATATTTCTCAGTACTGCTCAGCATGTAAAATAATAAAATGTACTGCATAAAAATTTCAAATTCACCAATTTTAAGGTCTGAATGTGAATCTTTTCAGTTAAGATAAACAATTTACATCGAAGAGTTATAATTCGCATCTAATCATCTGAGCCATTTTGACCATTTTAACCATCAAAATTACTTTTCCTTATAGGATGACATTTTGACATAAAGCATTTTCTTCCTCAGTTGAGGAAATCTTTTAGTTCTGATTTTCTCAGAGAAATTGCGGCAATCACTCCAGAATCTATTACCAACATCAGTTTTAATAGCTAACTACTAGATAAGATATTGCATTAACAACAGAATTTTCTATTAATATTGTGATTTATATTATTAATATTGTGTGTTATATCTATTAATATTGTGAGGAGCGAAGCAACAGAGCTCTTATTACTTGGAGCGTTCTGGCTAAAATTACGATTTCACTGAAAGGTTGAGAAGACCTAGACACGGTTTTCACGAGCTATCTAAATTCTAATTAAGCAGTTGAAACAAATAGAATAATCTTAAATCTTCTTACCTTGTCTCTTCGCTCGTACATTCATGTTGACGCTGGGAAGGCCGTTTTCTTAAATCTAAAAGTTACTGAAAGTTTACACACACCATTTATTAATCATTTTAACACACACTCAGACTCAATACATCAGACACTTGACAGAAAAACAACATAGCAGTAAATCAAAAAGAAGTTAGAGTCATCAAAGTTTCTGGGTATGCGCAGATGCCCGAAGTTTAAATTGGAAGCACTCCATTCTATACTGTGGGGGTTGCAACATTTCCTTCCACCTTGCAATCTGGTGAAGGAATGCAATCAAAGTCTCAATAAGATAGAAATTCTGCCTCTGAGTTGGTTTTACTATACGTCCAAATCTAGATTTTACCATGGAACGTTCTGGACTGTCTTCAACTTCAAGAGGTACTTCAACTTAAAAAGTCTTTGGTAGTTAAGTAGTTCTAAATAGTTCGCCATTCATAGTTTTTATGAGAGCAACATGAGTATTTTGATATTGTTCGGGATAAAGTATTCTGCCCATTGGCCAGTCTATTCGTTTGCTGTTGTCACTTCCAATGAGAACAACTTCACCTACTCTAAGAATGGTTGGGTGTTTGCACTCGGAGTAAGATTTCAATTGACCCAGGTATTCTATCCGAAATCTTTTCATCAGGTCTTGATTAAGTTTCTGACGATAACGAAAACGTTTTATTAAATGCCTCGAATCGAAGACATCTAATTCAGGTACAGATCCAGTACGCATTTCCCGTAAAAATAAAGATGGGGTTAAAGGTTGTAAGTCTTCAACATCCTCTGACAGATAAGTCAAGGGACGGTTATTGATTATGTATTCTGCTTCACATAAAATGCTAGCCAGTTCTTCATAATTTATTCGATATCGTCCCAGATTTCTTCTTAAGATTTTTTAGTCATTCCAATTAGTCGCTTCCACCATCCGCTCCACCAAACGGCGGTAGGAGGGATGAAAAATCCACTGAATCCGCTTAACTGAAGCCAATTCCTGTACCTTTTGTCATTCTATTTGATGGAAAATATTATCAGTTCCTACAATATTTGCACCGTTATCACAATAAACATACAAGGATCTTCCTCTTCTCGATACGAGCCCACCAGCGGCCGAGCGGTAAAGACGCTGAACACTGGTAGTTCGGTCTGAGGTTCGAATCCCGCGAACGGGCTGGCCGCATGGGCGTTTTCGTGGTTTTCCCCATGTATAAGTGTATCGAGCTATTTCCCATAAAAAGTACTCCATGAAGGCATCCCTCCCTTAAGGCAGATAGCCCTCGAGTGCTTTGCCATAATTAAATACACCAACACTTCTCGATACGAATCTTCGAAATGCTATACAAAAGGTTTCGGTGCTCAGTGATTGTACTAACTCTATGTGCACTGCTCGAATCACAGCGCTTGTGAAGAGAACGAACCAAGCTTTATCTCCGTTTCTTAAGTATAACGGCCCTCCTAAATCAATTCCTGTTATTTGAAATGCAGCTGCATTTACACGATTTTCTGGCAAAGGGGCAGGCATAACCTCAGCGTTGGAAACTTCAAATCTTCTACAGTTCTTGCAATATCTAAAAACTTCCCGACCAGTTTTTGTAGATCTTAATATCAAGAAGTTTTCTCTCATTTGAGCCATTAACGTCTG